GCCAGAGAGAGTCAGCCACTCATCGCCAAAGCTTCTCTGGTATGCTATAGGATGGAAGTTTTCAGAAGAGGGCAGTGTGCCACAGCTGATCGAACGATTTCATGTTATGAAGAGCAACGTCTTAAGCCTCACGATAAGACTGGATAAGTTTACTTCACAATTGCGTAACGTAAGCTGGAGCTCGCGATCTATGCAGCTCCCCATCACCTTACTTATAACAGAAAGCAGAGCTACAGGCCTATAGTTGTAAGGGTCGGACTTAGATCCTTTTTTTTTTATGGGCTGGGCATGAGCAAATTTCCAGTTTTCTGGGAAGGTACCGGAGTCGTAAGATATGTGGAAGAGACGCGAAAGAACTGGAGCAAGCTGTCCAATACAACGGCAGGAATTAAGTCCGGACCAGAAGCTTTGTTTGTGTCAAGCGACCAGAGCACCCATCTTCCGGTCTTATGCATGAATGTTATTTCCCACATAGTGTAGGGAACCCTTTGAATATTTGGCACTTGGGCGTTGGGGGGGGGGACGTCCACGGTGGAGTTGGCAGCAACGCCTTAGCCTTTGATTTGGTTCCAGTTGTTCCACTCTGACACGTAAGTGGTGGAAGGCTGCTACTGTGTGAGGAGTTCCTTTCAATCTGCTTGGCCGATATCCAGAAAGACCGACTGTCATTACGCTGCGGCATTACCCTGTGCCTAACTCTTATATCCTGCTGGTCTTTGGCATTGCGGACCGCTTCATTATATCTGTTTCTGGATGCGACGTCGGCTTGTCTGTGCTATACAGTGGGGTCTTGTGATTCCAAACAAACCCTTCTGGAGCAGGAAAGGCTGCTGCGGACAAAAGCCAAAACTCCCCCGTTCTTTCTCTGATTGGGGAGCACCTCGCAATTTGGGAAGCTGAGATGGTTAATCGGTACAGAATCTGAGATTTTTGTCTCTACCAAGAAAAGCATAGTGGTGTTGTAAAACTTAGGTTCACTGATATTAGCAGAACATGTGGAGGACAGCAAGGCGGGCAGGTAACTTGTGGACAAAATGAAAAGTTCGGGACCCAAGACTGAGCCTTGAGAAACTGCGCTTACCACACGATGGAGTTAGCAAAAAAGTTCTCCGGGTAAGAAAAGTCCCGATCCGCTGCCACAACTCTCCCTAACTAAAAGACGCTCCAGCTTGAAAAGAAGTTTTCTATGCAGGACGGGATTAAAAGTCTTAGAGAAGCCTAAATATTTCATGACAACTGGAGTTTTTTTTTTATTGAGATGCTTGTCGCTAATCATTCACATAGAGCAAGACAGAAATACTATCTGTGCTGCAATATGAATCGCTCAGTTATAGATAATATCCAGCGATAAATCAAATAAGTCAAAGAAACGAAAGTAGGTATTGCTGCTATTATATTATGGTCACTAAGAGTGTATTTATCCAATGAAAAATTAAGAAGTATTTTAGTTGATTTGATATTCACAGTCATTTTGGGCGAGATAGCATAGGAGAAATGACTTCCAAAAATAAGATGTACAGGGTGGCCAACTAAGAGCTGGGACATATTGGAGGAAATCCTCATGTTAGCACAAGGGCATTAACCCTTGAGTTGGGCATATCACGAACAACGGTTCAAAATATTTTGAAGGACAATAGGTAAGTTCTAAATATAGGAATTTATTTGAATTTAACTTTTTCTTTAATTACTTTTAGAATGCAATATCATGTCGTTTTGCATCAGGCCTTGAAAGAGGAAGACTTTGATCGGAGGTTAGACTACTACCATTGGATGATAGGCTTGCCAAGGGTGTGGCACACTGGGAGACTGAATTATTGGGCCATATTCTTTCGAGCACTCCGTAAATGGCAAAGTCTTTCTGGACTGTTTGTACAATAAATTACCGTTGTTGTTGCAACTACAAACACGGCAAAACCTGTTTTTGCACTTGGATGGTTGCTCAGCACATTTTGCTATTATTGTGCGAGAGCATAGTAATGCAGTATTTTAACAGCGGTGGATCGGAAGAGGAAGTCTGTATCCATGGCCTTCGAGATCACCAGACTTAACTTGTCTTGATTTTTGTTTATGGGGATGGTTAAAGGACCTCGTATTTCAGACTGAATCTACAACCAGAGAAGATATGAAAAACCGGATTCGTAATGCAATACGTAACATACTGAGACTGAAACTGCAGTTTTGTCTAATCATGAGAGGCTTCAGGAATGCAATAAATAAAAATTTATGGGATTTTCGTTTTTTGGCCTAAATTTTAGGTTAGGAAAAAGATATCAAGATGGGATTTTTTTGAGCTTGTTTAGACATCATTTATCAACCTTTCCATAAAAATTATACCATTGCATTATTTTTTTTGATACAATTTAACATCTCTGTAGGAATGTCGAAAAAGCCCCCTAGCGGCCACATGTGAAACCAGCAAAATTTCAAATATTATAGCATTGGTAGCCCGAGAATAGCTATTTTTAGGTAGTCGAAGATTGTTGAAATCGGCTCAGCCGTTTCGAAGATTCAGGGTGTTCTTACGGAAACCTTTGAATACCACCCACCCCTTTATTTTTAGAGATACAGCAAAAATTGTCAAACAAAAAACGTTCAGATTATCCCCAAATTCAAATATCAGGTACTTGTTTGTTAGGGAAATCCCAGAAACATCCATTTTTTATATTCAAGATTGCAGTTACGCCCATAGCGGCCAATGTTTTCTAGGTTTTTCTCTTGGCCGTTTTAGTAACAACTATTTTTGAGGCAAGCCTCTATCATGATGGATAGGTTTCCAGATACAGAACCTCACATTCTAGTTGGCCACCCTGTACATTGAACTTTTGAAGTATTTACAATCCTTTCAGGGGATCCCAAGTCGCTTCTCTCTAATGAGTGTCCGTGTATTTGTATAAGCTGGAATGTATCATGTGTTTTTTCTAACAGCGACTTGCAGCTGGGTGTCAGTTGCAAGATAAATTGATAGACGCGCGAATGACAGTAAAATTGCATAGAATTATTTCTCTTGAGGAATATGTACCCAGTCATTGTTTTCAAATATTCACACTTGAATTACAATCGACATACGGCAGGATTATAAATTGTTCAGAGCGTATTCATATTCGTTCATATATCATTTTGTAGTGGAAAATATAGTCCAGTTCCTAGGATCCTGAAATTAAAAATGGCGTTAATCATAATCAAAATATTTTGGAGCGGACATTGGAGTTGTACTTTTGGCAGGCGTGGGATGAGAATTTTGAAAACGGAAGGAAGTATTATGTTCTTTGTGTGCTTTGTAACAAGGAAGCATACCACCTGGCATAACTCGGTAGCAAGGGCTTAGGTTGACACAGTCCGGGGAGACATAGTCGACGAACAATCTTCTCATTTGCTAGGAAATATTTTGATTTGTTTCATATGCACAATCTTATTAAAAAACAAGTCTGCACGTTATCAGGCTGAAAATTATTTAGAAAATTGTTTTAAAACATATTTCAGAAATTGGTTTCTTTTTTTTGGTTTCGGTCAGGGTTATTTTAAGTTTCTGAGTCATTCTGAATAAAAAAATTGGCAACCGAAAGAACGTCCAAATATGTATTAAAATCTAAGATCAAGCTCACATGTAATAGATATAATGGTCAAATGTAGGTAGAATAAGTGATGTTAGAGAAAACTCATATACGCGAAGTACGATTATTGGTGAAAAAATCAAGAGAAGGCCTTCAGTAAGTTTTAAACAAGATTTAAATACTGATCTTGGATATGACCTTGAGTCACACCTTGAACGTCACAAGTACTACATGGGATTCTACTAATCCCATTTAAAAAAGGTTGACATCGAAAAACCCTTGAACGTAAGGATCAAGGTTGAATTCAACACCACCATTGAAATTCTTCTTGAAAGTTATTATAATGTGTTCATTCATACTTCTGCTAAACCCCTAAAGGGGCCTACAGACACACGAACATGTATTAAGACATGAACGCACGTCGACGTTTGCGCGTTGATGTTCGCCAGTGTGTAGACAAATCTCTAGTTAAAAGACCGACGCACATCATGCTTTCTGTTTTCGCTTGAATTTATGCCTGCACAGACTTGTACGCGCGTGTATGTATGCCTGTGTGTAGACAAAACGTACTAATTTTCACAGACTTAATTCAGTGGCGCGACTGCATTCGTGTATTCTGTTGTTAGGAGCAGGGGGGTCAACTTAGAAGTTCATTTAGTTTTGAATTTGTCAATATGGCAGATTTGAGAAGTTTTTCCAAAGAGTTTATAACAGAGTTCATAGAACTATACAAATCCTATCCATGTTTGTGGCGAGTAAAATCAAAAGACTATATGGATCGCAATAAAAAAAACGAAGCATATAAAGTGTTGGTGCTGAAGCTCCAAGAAGTTGAGAAAAATGACAACAAAGAAATGGTTAAAACTAAAATTAATAGCCTCCGAGCTAGTTTTCGGAGAGCACTAAGAAAAATTAAAGAGTCGAGAAGATCGGGTGCTGCAGCAGATGATGTTTATATACCACATTTATGGTATTATGATCTACTTTTATTTATAAAGGATCAGGAAATCCCTAGACAATCCATTAGTAATATTGAAGATGTTGGAAGCGACAGTGAAATGGACAGTTGCCATTCAGAAATGGAAAATGAAGACGCTCTAGAACTGGAGGTAAGGCCTGATTTATTTATTTGACTTTTACTTCCCACGCCAACTGGAGAGGAAAAGAGGAAGTATTGTAATAATAATAATAATAATAATAATAATAATAATAAATTGCTTTTATTGCTCATGTAAGTACAGAAAAAGAAAAAGTACATAAATCTGATGCAGTGAGCAAACGGCAAGGTTCGCTTGATTGACAACCATTAGCTGTCAATCCGCGCTCTTCCACCTAACCAAATCGCGAATAATTTCGAAAATGAGGTATTATATTTTATGAATGGTATATAATATATAACACATATATATAAAAAACATGGATATGCTTGAACCGATAAAATCAATGCGTGGGAAGTGCGGAGTCAACCTACTTGATGCCATTTTTTGATTTCATGTAAGAAATAATGAAGTAGTACACATATTAATATAGAGGGTAATAAAAAATCGTCTTGATATTTTGATTCGCTTTACTTCAACTTAAGTACTTAGAAGGTATAATACATAAATTAGCAAATCATTCTTTCCTGCCAAGCTACGGATCCCTCATTATTAAAGTAGTTCAGAAATAACTGTCTAACTTCTTGTGCATCCTTGTTTGCTCTTCTATTGTTACCCCGTTGCAAACTAGTCATCTGATTGGGTTGCAAGCCTAATTCAACAGTGCCATCTTCATGGTTCTCCCTGTATAAGTTGTTATCAGGTGCATACACAGTGGCAGTTCTTCTTCTCAGAAAATTATGCAGAACACAACATGCCATCACTACTTTGTCAATTGCTTTTAAGTTAATAGATATAGCTGTGTGGAATATTCTAAATCGAGCAGGGAGTATACCGAAAGCATTCTCTACTCTACATCCTTGCCCTTGAGAGACGATAATTGAAAATTTTCTTATCATGATCCCAGTCTCTCTGGCTAAATGGTTTCAAGAAATCACAGCGGAGTGCAAACGCTTCATCACTTATAAAAACAAATGGCAATGCTTCTTTACTGTTCATTGTTCTTGTTGGAGGTGGTATGGAGAGTTTCCTATCTTTAAACTTCCGGTAAAACTGGCTGTACTCAATAACTCCTCCATCAGATATGCGGCTGTTGATCCCGAAATCACACATAATGAACTCGTAATTTGCGTTGACCACTGCCAAGAGCACTAGGCTGTATGCCCCTTTATAGTTATAAAAATATGAACCACTTCCGGTGGGCGGTTTTATATTGACATGTTTTCCATCTACCGCCCCCAGGCAGTTCGGACAGTTGCATCTCTTTTCGAAGTCGTCTGCAATATTTCTCCATTCATTCTCGGTCGTTGGGAACTGAAAAAAATCAAAAATATATATTTTTTTGCATAAAACTAGATATGATGTAAATGAAAGTCAACACAGTGAGCTGAGCTCAGTACCAAGTCCACCAATATCCAGACCTTGTAGTAGTCAAAATGTACGTCCAATTTCCAATCCAGAAAACATTGTACCGCTGCCTGCAGCTGGAAATCGGGGAAAAAATAAACGCAAGACAAACTCTGATAACCAAGAAGCAGACAACGTGTTGGCGGCGGTAGGAGAAAGACTACGTTCCAAGAATGACGATCAGTTCGCCATTTTTGGGAAAAATGTCTCAGCAAAATTGAAAGGACTCCCAAAAGAAACCAGATTATACACTGAGAAACTCATAAATGATCTGCTGTTTGAGGCTGAAATGGGTAACGTGTCCAGAAATACTAGGATTGTTTCGTCAGGAGACAATGAACAGAATCAAAACAATTTTTCCAGTAATAGCGTTGTTGATGCTTGCTACCCTAATCAATATAACTACAATTCAACTCAACCTATAAATATATCAGGCACACAAAATCAAGCTCAAACTTATTTGCTACCAGCTATGCCACTTAAGCCCCAGTGCCATCAAAGCCATCCTCAACAAATCAACTAGGGTAGCTCCACAGTTTCAACTTATTTTGGATCGTATAATCCTCTAAGTGAAGCTAACATTTAAGGTCCAGTTTATATTTACATATAAGAGTTCCGTTAGATTAGCGTTGTATATATAAAAATAGAATACTTGAGAGTTTGTGTTTGTGTTTATTTTGTTTATTTTACTACTAAGTAATATACTCTGTACCCACCTTCATATAGTCTTTCTTCAGTACTTCATAAATAGCGCTGCATTTCTCTGGAATTATGTTGCACAATGACTGTGGAGAAATCAGGGTAGAAAATTTTAAATCTTCATAATTCCTCCCAGTGGCCAAATACCTCAATGTGGCCGACAGTCTTTCATGTACCGATATAGCGGGTCTCATCGGTGTGTTCTGTTTTTCAATAAGTGGCGAAACCCTCTCTAGGAGTTTTATATAACTATCTTCATCCATCCGGAGGTAGTTTCGCCAATCATCAGGTTCTAATCGTAGCTCTTCAAGTAAATTGATGTGAGAATATTGATCCCGCTTCAAAAGCCAATCTTTAACCCATTTTCTTCGTGGCTGACGTCTCTTTTTCAATTGATGTTTTCTTTTTTTCACAATACAAACGCACGCCACTGCTAGTAAGTTTAACTCATCATCGCTAGACATGGCGACAAACTACAACATCGACGTGGAGAAAACTGACACACAAGTCTCTATGTGTGGAGCTAAAAGTAGATCGACGGGTATCACTGCGCAAACATCGCCGTGCGTTCATGTCTTAATACATGTTCGTGTGTCTGTAGGCCCCTTAAGATTCTTTCCTAGCTTCAAATGTTTAAACTTCATTTGACCTTTAGAGGTGACCTTGATATTTGACTCTTATACATGTTCGGATGAATAACTTCGCGTTCCTCCGATTGGCGGTCCCAAAAGAAGTTTTTCGTTTCGAAAACAAGAGTTGACCTTGAAGCGACTTTGAAGCTGAGGATAGATGTCCAAGGTCATCATTGAGCTTTTTCAAAGCTTGTACGAGTATACCCCTGACTTCAATCTGTCTCAAAGATACATATCTGGAAACATACGGACCAGTTCCGTTACTTTTGTGACATCTAAGTGTAAAAAAGTTTACTTCTTAAACTGCATTATTTAACAGAAACTATTCCAGATAAATGTAAGTAATAAAAGTACGTAATCTGATGATACATATGTACACGGTTTTCAAAACTGCTCAATTTCCCAGACTACGATCTATTATTTCATATTTGATTCTGTTACGTATACGTCAGATCTACTTTCCAAAAAATTCCAATTACTCTCCTCATCCTAGCCTACAATTTTTGACATGTTTTCTCCCATGTCGATCTGCAAAAACCATGCACAGATAATAGGCTGGATTAGTGACCCAATTTGATAAAAATTGATCGACGACCGAATCTCATTACTTTTTAAGCTTACTGCAGCTGCAGGCAATATTTGCGAAAAATTAAAAGTAGCACGCACCACACTGGCCGAAAACCAGGCATCAATTTGAACTCGATCCAAATTTATAACGGATCCTTCCCGAAATATGCTTCATTTGGGATATCGGGATTTGTGGCAATCGAATGGAGTTTGATTTGAATTCCAATGTTCCGATGGGGAAATGACAAAGGCTTATGGACTCAACTTTATAGAGAGCCAATTTAGCATACGAGAGTTGCACAGCAGAACAACTTCTATACAGGGTGGCGCATCGAAAACGAAACTGACGCATTAACTGGCAGCTCAGTTTTTGTTTTGCAAAAGTGGTCAGACCCGTCGATTTTGTTTTCGAGGGGGACACAAGTTAGGCAAAAAAAACACGTTAGCACGTGCAGCCCCTTAAGCGGGGGTGACACCACCCCCAAAATCTTAAATGGAAAGGGGGGTCGAGTGATACCTTATTTTAAAGGTATTTCAATTCCCTTTATAATGATATAAAATTAATGTACTTCAGTTCAGTAGTATTGAAGATTTCTTGATTTAAAGCTTAAATAAAACTAATACATCATCATTAGTGGAGATCAATGCATTTGGCAGCACAGTAATTTAAAAATGAAGAATGAACTGACCCGTTAGGCAAGTAAATGTTGAAAATGGCCACCATGCAATAAATAATAAAGATTTTGCTCATAACGTTGCCGCACATTTTGCAATATTTGAGGAGTTATTTGAAGGCACTCATTCACAATTCTTTGTCGCAGGTCTTCTAATGATGTTGGCTGAGTAGCAAAGATTTTGCTTTTTAAATGACCCCACATAAAGAAATCCAAAGGTGTTAAATCTGGCGATCGTGGGCACCTCTTCTACCAATCCATCGATCTGGAAACGTCTGATATAAATATTGTCGAACACGTAATGCGTAATGTGGTGGGGCACCATCCTGTTGGAACATCAACCTATTCGCAATGTACCGCCGATCATTCTGATTTTCAATTATGGCTGTTAGTGCAGGATCTATGGCATCTTCCAGTAATTCCAAATACATTTCACCGGTCAAATTTCCAGGTAAGAAAAAAGGACCAACTAAATGATCGCCAAAAATACCAGCCCAAACATTTAATTTTTGTGGCGGCTGTGTCGGAACAGCAAGTGTTGAATAGATAGTGTACATCTTTTATAATCCGTTAACTCATATCTTCACAAAATTGTAATCGCCGATCAAAATCGTCTTCATTAAGTTCCAGTACCAGGTGAATTTTATACGGATGAAAACTATAGGCTTTTAGAATCCGTCGACTAAAACCACACTCAGTCTCCAATTTGCGGGTACTTAACGTAGGATCTACACAAGCTTGCCCTAAAACCCCCACTTCTGTTGCTTCGTTCCTTATGGGATTTTCAATGTTGCGTTTTTTATTGGCGACTGAACCAGTTTCCGAAATTTAGTTACAAGTTCTAGAACATATTTTCGATGCACGTTATTGTTCTCATGTCGCTCATTAAATATTTCTGCTGTTCTATTAGCGCACTGATTATTTCCGAAAAATATTTCGATAACTTCGACTCCTTCTGCTGTGGAATATACCATGGTTAATTTATGCAAGAAAGCGTTACAAGTTATTTTAGCAACAAAGCTTGGTCAAATCAATCGCAAACTATGTAAAAAATGCTCCAATAGCTATTTTCAACAACAAAATGATAAACAAACCATGGGCGTAGTGAAGAAAGGGAAAGGGAATTGAAAGACCTTTAAAATAAGGTATCACTCGACCCCCCTTTCCATTTAAGATTTTAGGATTGCTGTCACCCCCACCCAGGGGGATTTTTTTCCAAACTTGTGTCCCCCTCGAAAACAAAATCGACGGGTCTGAGCGTTTTTCCAAAAAAAACTGAGCTGCCAGTGAATGCGTCTGTTTCGTTTTCGATGCGTCACCCAGTATATTGTTACTTCCTTGCCAACTGGCGAGAGACCTGGAAGTTACTACTGCTTGCGAACGCAACAATCTGAGTCCAGATCACCGAAGACTTGATCTGGCACGAACACATCTCGTCAATAGCAGCAGCTGTTGGAAAAAAACTAAGCTATTTGCTTACGGCTAAGAAGTAACCTTCTCACTCTGTACAAGGCCTAGATAAGGCGTAGCTACGGGTACTGCTCACATGTTTAGGGTGCTGCCGCCTTGACTACCTACTACCCTAATCGTCGCGAACTTTGTACATCCAGAACTGGCCGATACGATCGCTCCTTTATTTGTTTTATGAATTTTCGATAGATATAGATCATACAATGATAAATCAATATTTTGTGGCGATCGTTAACTGTGCTTCTCCAATTAAGCCTCTCCATTTAATACCCATATCTTAGCGGCGACCATAGAAATTATAAATCGCCTCTTGAGGAATGTTTGTGGGTTTACTCATTGTGAAAAAAAAATAGTATATTTGAGGTGAACGTGTTCTAATACCCTGCTGAGCGGGGTTGTGGCAAATGTCTGTTCTGGAAATTGTTGTATTCAGTATGCAACTTCTTCCCTTTCAAGTGATTGTACACGCGTTAAGGAATACTTCAGTACCGATTGCAGGATGGCGGTACAAGACTGCCAACGACCCACTTTTAGGTCTATCTAGCATATTAGCTCTCAAAAAGAATGTGGTAAACAAGAACCAGTCGACCGAGGCGGTACCACCCGCTAGCCTTTTCCAGGGTGTCTTATAAATGTCCGCATGCTTCCACACCTAAGCTAATGATGATGAATCTCTCAAGTATTAAGAATTCCGGACGTAGACTCACTCCACTCTAGGAATATCCAGCTCAATTAGTTAAGGTTGAGTGATTTAAATTTCATCTCTAAGATATTTAACATACAAACATACTAACATACATAATAACTAAAATAGACACTAATAAATATATATACATTTTCTTACAAACTGGTCAAGTTAAATAAAAGCTTTTAAATAAGGTTTTGACAATGTGAGGTCACGAAAGGTGCTTTGTTTAAATGTTTTAAGGAACAATGAATTGTGTTTTTTAGAACCTCTTTAAAGAGATCGAGGTACTGATCGACATATTTTTCATTTTTTTTATGCGAAATGCATAACTTAACTACTCCGCAAAACGCAGAAGTATTTCGGTCTTTCTAAATATTCAATAGAAAATACAGATAGCTATTAAAAAGAACTTTGATACTCAGCTGTATAATCTTGACTTTTTTGAAAGTGATGGTTCAGGATGATCCTGAAGATAATGATAAAGTTTGTATCTTGCAGCAATACTCCTTCCTTCCAAGCAATTTTGACCACCCTGTACAAGATACTGTTTAACCGGCTAGTAGGAATGATGATAGCAATATGAATAAATATTAAACAACTATTACAAACCATGTGCGGAGCCCACAATACGCTGTAATAGGTTACATCTTGCCCAGCTTGGAGTGCCTGTACCACAGAAACTACGCGTGGAAGACTTTTGGGCCTATGTGTTAAAATCTACAATACACTAAATTTGTTCCCCATAAGGTTTCTACCGGTTCTGTTGTTGCCAGTGTCTCGTTAATGTATATGTTACTTCGTCCTCTATTCGCTAAACTGTAACAGTTTCTCTTTATAGTCGACTAAAAATTAACTACATCTTTCTGTTTTTGGTCTTCTCCTCCAAGTCTGGTATGCCTAGTCTTCGTATATCCTCTTTGACACTGTCCAAACACTGCTTCTTCGATCTTCCTCTTCTTCTTCTTCTACTGCCTTCTCCTCCAAACAAAACTTTTTTGGCATTCCTATAAGGCGGCATTCTGTAAACGTGTCCCAGCCAGCGCACTTTTTGAGCTCAGGTTTTTTGCATTATACTGGGTTGGTTATACATCTCTATCAGTTCTTTATTAGTTCGCTTTCTCCATGTACCATCGTTGTTTTTTGTGCCTCCATATATTTTACGTAACATTTTTCTTTCCCAGCGTTATAATTTCTGAACGTTTTTCTGGCTTAACACCCAAGCTTCACTGCCGTGAAGTACTGATGGTTGGATAACCGATTTAAATATAATTTCCTTTGTTTTACTTGATATCCGTTGTGAGTTTATCATCTTGCTTAAAGCCCCCATTGCTTTACTCCCTTTTACTATTCCTTTTTCAATTTCTAAATCATCTTCTGCTTTATCTCTTATTGTGACCCCTAGATATTCAAATTGATTCACCTTCTCGAAACAGTATCTGCAACTACTTTTTACTAACGCGTCGCTTCCTCTTATTTCTAGGTATTTGTTTTGTCTTCATTTACATGAAGCCCAAAACGTTTGGCAGTTTCTTCTAACCTTAAACGTCTTTTCAAGTTCTGCTTTGGATCTGGTTAAACTAGCTTCCAGCGTAAAGTTAAACAATGTTGTAGATAGCATTGTCTCAGGTCTCTCGTTACGCCAAAAGCTCTAGATGTTTTCCCTTCCAATGTGACTTTGTTCATTGTCCCGTTCATTGTCATTTCGATTAACCTTATCAGTTTTCTTGGTAGTCCTAGCAGTCTCATAGCTTCATATAATTTTTCTTTGTCAATGGAATCATACGCTTGCTTGAAATCAATAAATAATGCGTGTATTGGACAGATTACGGCGTTTTTACATTAATCTGGTAGTTCCTCGTGATTACTTATACCTGATCAGACTTCCAAGTCGCTTGTGTAAATCTTGTCCACACGCTTTTATTATTTCTGCTGTGATTCCATTTTCTCCTGGACTCTTATTGTGTTTTAATGTCCCTATTGCTTCCCCTATTTCCAGATCCGTTGGTTCATGTATTTGTCCCTGGTCGTCATCTTCGGTTAGTGGTGCTGCTTCCGTGTTCCTTTCCTCTTCGTCTGATAGCTTTAAGTATTCCTCAAAATGTTCGGCCCACCTTTCTAATTTTCCTGACCCATCTTTGTCTTTATAAAAGCAAGAAGACCTTTGACTAGCCCCATTTTGCTTCTTCGTACATCCTGGTAAAAGTTCTTAATGTTTTTGTTGAACATGTGATCTATCATTTTCAAATTCATTTCCCAGTATTCACGCTTTTTCTTTCTACACATCTCTTTCACTTTTAGTTTGGCTTGCTCATATCTTTTCCTTGACTGAGGTGTTCTAGATACATTCATTTGTATTTTAGCTTTCTGTCTTTGTTCCAATTCCCGTTTACAGTCATCATCGAACCACTCTTTGTTTTTTCTAGTACTCGTTTTTCTCATCATCTGTTCTGCTACATTTGTGATTATTGCTCGGATATGATTCCATTCCTGATTAATATCCTGCACAACTGGTGGCAGTCCTGTCGTTATTGCTTGTTCAAGTTGCTGTCTAACTGACGTATCTTCTAGCGCTTTTGTTTCGTACCTTTTGATTGTCTTCTGTGTCTCTGTTTCTTCGGGATTTCTTGTTTTATAACTGCTAATAATTTTATAGCCGCTCTTAAAAATATCGAATTTTATTTTTAGTAATAAAACACCTCTCCTTTCTACTCTCCATCTCGTTGCTTGGTACTTGGTGCTGTATTCGGTGCTCTGGTATAGGAATTCCGCGGCCCACTACCCGATTTTATGAAATAGTTTTACACGCAGCGTTGCGGACTTATAGGGTGGTGGGGTTTTTATAGGAAATCGGTGCTTTTTTTTGGTAGGAGCTTTTTTGTCGCTCTCTTGGGGATTTACTCGCGGACATTACACCCAACCATCGAGCTGGTAAGTGGCCAAATTCTCCAAGTCATTTTTTTCAATGTGTTTTCTAATTCTATAGAGGGGAACCGTCTGTATGGATAATCCAAGGCGAATTCAAGCAGGACTCACGCCTGTGAGGAGCAGTTCATCATTTTTCCGAACCCTCATTGTTAGAGGTAATTTTGATTTTTCTTCTTTACTTTGTTAGTCCTGTCTTTCGTACAAACTGAAAACACTATTTCGTTGAAAAATTTAGAATGAGACTTTCCGTAATTTCATTTGTGCCAGTTTAGGCGTTATGTAACCTTAGGGTTATACTTTAACCATTTAATTATCCATTGTTTAGGTCAATCTGGAATTCGTCAAAAACTATTAATTCATCAACTTAGTAGTAAAAAGAGAAAAATGTTTTGGATTTCTCGTGAGTAACATTTATACAGGGTATTAATAAAGTATGTAGCCAAACTTTAACCATCGAATCCTTGGTCAATTTGAAGACTAGTTGGTCATATGAACGTGGTTTACTAGAGAAATACGATTAATGTTCCAAATACTTCTATGAATAATGAAACGTATTTATTGAACAGTTGGTATAACCTATGATACATTTTGCATGTTTTACAAGTTCCTGAGGCTCAATATGAACGTGGATGAAAATAGTATTATCCTGTATTTTTCGAAAATCGTTTTTAACAGTAACATTGGAATAGAACGATAACAATATATCGAATAGTTTTTTTTACATTAAATGTTCAAAGTGGCTACGAATTATTTGAGAAAATAAATTAATTCAATTGTTTTCGGGTACGTCATAGGTGTCTAGATAAGCGCAATGCTTAAATATTGAAAGTATTGCGATCAAAACAAATCAATGTCATGCTGTTTTTTCAAAAAATACTGGATAACATTATCCTTATCTACGTACATGGAGGGTCTGAACATAACTGTAAATCATTTGATATTCACCACAGGGCATACTTTATTAAAATAAAATACGTTCCATTCTTTTATAATTTTTTAGAACAATATCATCATTCCTTTTAGTGCTAATATGCACTAGCTTGAAAACAAAGTCGTTGCGCACCCATGTTCATAAGGCAATTTCATCTTCAAATTTACCAAGGTTTAGATGGTTAAAGATCGTCTACATACTTTATTTGTATCGTAGTACATACACTAAGAATATTATGTGTTATTTTTATATCGCCACCGCTTCTGATATTGGTTGTATATTTGCTGGAATTTAAGTGGGCCATGCGCACGAAGTAAAATATTATGTTTTTTAAGGGTTTTTGATTATTTTACTTTATTTCAGGTTAATTTAAAAATTTGGGTATTTCTAGTGCAATCACGATTTTCTTTGTACACCGTAATTGAACAGCAACCTTATTTTAATTTTTAATTTGTGAATTGGTGTAACCTAAGGCTAAATGATTCCATATTAAAGTTAAATTTTTAGATTTTAGAAGCAAATTAAAAGGGGTAATTAGCAGTCAAATCGTGATTTCGCCTAATTTTTTTAGCAAGTAATTTTTTATAGTTAGGGTTCTACCTTCCGGTTCTACCTTCGGGTTCTACGTTACCTACCGATAATAGCCACGCACCTGCACAAGTGGTTTTTCTTTTTATTTTAATATTTACCGGAAACCATTTAGCTAGGGGGTTGATGCTAAATAATTTTCTTAGCCTGTCCTCCAGTGCTTCTCTTTATTTTTGTATACTTTTTTCCAATAAATGTCTGTGTGAGTTTGTGTCTTCTTAGCTCCTTGTTATTTCATTTCCTAGTTTTTGAAACTAGGTGGCGCCCAAACCGCGACCGCTTTGCATCCAAAAACCAAGGTACAACGAACCTCACCCTGAGGTCGCATATCTACCGACTAACCTAGTTTTAGCGGCATAACAACTGTTGTGTCTCATATTATTTTCTCACAGGACAAACGACATGGTTCCTTTTAATTGTCGAAATGCTATTTCTCGCGTTTCAGATCAGTAAGCAATGCAATTGCAACATGTTCGTCAGAGATCGCATAGCAATCAACCGGTATACTGCGACAACCGTTCTGGGTGTGTTTTTGCGCTTTTTGGAGGCTTTTGGCGCTTTCGGTACAAATAGCCTCATGATCGCTTATCATCTTGGAGGTTAGACGTCCTTTTGGGAGCGGAAATCATGGCTTTACGCAATATCGACATGTTATAGACCTTTCAGTCTATTGTATTAATACACTGTATACGAATCTGAAAAATGAATAGGAAACACAAAGTGTCACCTGGAAGACATATAAATAAAATATGGTCATGTACTGAAGAAGATCACCGTTATGACCGAAACGTATACATTAAAGAATTTTTAATACATGTGGTTTCATTGGTCAGAAAAATATGGTGGACTATCGAAATGAAAACCACAGGTTCAGATATTATATTGTCTGTCACTTATTTCTGCTAGACGTACCTGGATGACAACGTGGTAATGGATATAGTATATTAGTCTCCAATAGTTAAAATAAAATATGGTCTGAAGCTTCCCTTGATGGATAGAATTTCACGTTGGAAATATTCGAGGGTTTTAATTTAGGACGGCAGAATTCATGACTGGACTGGAGTGGAGTGTCCTGTCCATCGTAGAGCAATGGAATCGACAGTGACGGCGACCTGGAATCGATATCCAATTTTGGTCGGATGCCATTTGAACGACTGAAAATTATTTA